GATGGTAGTAGTGGTGATGGTGGTGATGATGGTAGTAGTGGTGATGGTGGTAGTGATGGTGGTGGTAGTGATGGTGGTAGTGGTGGTGATAGTGGTGGTGATGGTGGTGGTGATGGTGGTGGTAGTGATGGTGGTGATGATGGTGGTGATGGTGAAGTAACATCATCACAAGCCACACGTTTGTGACAAATTGATTTTAATAAAACATCACGCATGACGATTATAACATCACCATCATCACCACCATCATCATCACCACCATCATCACCACCACCACCATCATCACCACCATCATCATCACCTTCACCACCACCATCACCACCACCAACATCATCATGAACATTCTGCTGCTGATGATGATACTGATTCTGCTGATGATGCTAATGATGATACTGATGATACTACTGATGGTGATAGTAATGATGATGATACTGCTGATGATGATACTGCTGATGATGATGCTGATACTGCTGATGATGCTGCTGATTATGATGCTGATTCCGCTCATGATAACCATTCTGTTAATAATAAAATCTACAACCATCACCGTCATCATTCTTATTCGGCTTTTAAAAATAACAAATTTCGTAAAGAGCATCGCACAATTTTGGTATAAAAAAGAATAATTAAAAAAGATAAATTTACGAACTAATTGTTGTTTTACGAAGTAACATTCAAGATGGGTAAAACATTTTAGAAGTTATTCAAAGTTATCTATGGAGACGTCTCTCTGTTTGTGTCTCTGTGTCTCTGTGTGTGTCTCTGTGTGAGTCTCTCTCTGTGTGTGTCTCTGTGTGAGCCTCTCTCTGTGTGTCTCTGGGTGAGTCTCTGTGAGTGTCTCTGTGAGTCTCTGTGTGTGTCTCTGTGTGTGTCTCTGTGTGTGTCTCTGTGTGAGTCTCTGTGTGAGTCTCTGTGTGAGTCTCTGTGTGTCTCTGTGTGTGTCTCTGTGTGTGTCTCTGTGTGAGTCTCTGTGTGTGTCTCTGTGTGTGTCTCTGTGTGTGTCTCTGTGTGAGTCTCTGTGTGAGTCTCTGTGTGAGTCTCTGTGTGAGTCTCTGTGTGTCTCTGTGTGTGTCTCTGTGTCTCTGTGTGTGTCTCTGTGTGTGTCTCTGTGTGTGTCTCTGTATCTCTGTGTGAGTCTCTGTGTGTCTCTGTGTGAGTCTCTGTGTGGGTCTCTGTGTCTCTGTGTGTGTCTCTGTGTGTGTCTCTGTGGGTGTGTCTCTGTGTCTGTGTGTCTCTGTGTGAGTCTCTGTGGGTCTCTGTGTGTCTCTGTGTGAGTCTCTGTGTGTGTCTCTGTGTGTGTCTGTCTCTGTGTGAGTCTCTGTGTGTGTCTCTGTGTGAGTCTCTGTGTGTGTCTCTGTGTGTGTCTCTGTGTGAGTCTCTGTGTGTGTCTCTGTGTGTGTCTGTCTCTGTGTGAGTCTCTGTGTGTGTCTCTGTGTGAGTCTCTGTGGGTCTCTGTGGGTGTCTGTGGGTGTCTGTGGGTCTCTGTGTGTGTCTCTGTGTGTCTCTGTGAGTCTCCGTGTCTGTGTGTCTGTGTCTGTGTGTGTCTCTGTGTGTGTCTCTGTGTGTCTCTGTGTGTGTCTCTGCGTGTCTCTGTGTGTGTCTCTGTGTGAGTCTCTGTGTGTGTCTGTGTCTCTGTGTGAGTCTCTGTGTGTGTCTGTGTGTGTCTCTGTGTGTGTCTGTGTCTCTGTGTGTGTCTGTGTGTGTGTCTGTGTGAGTCTCTGTGTGTGTCTCTGTGTGTGTCTCTGTGTGTGTCTCTGTGTGTGTCTGTGTGTGTCTGTGTGTGTCTCTGTGTGAGTCTCTGTGTGAGTCTCTGTGTGAATCTCTGTGTGTGTCTCTGTGTGTGTCTCTCTGTGTGTCTCTGTGTCTGTGTGTCTGTGTGTCTCTGTGTCTGTGTGTCTGTGTGTGTCTCTGTGTGTGTCTCTGTGTGTGTCTCTGTGTGTGTCTCTGTGTGAGTCTCTGTGTGTGTCTCTGTGTGTGTCTCTGTGTGTGTCTCTGTGTGAGTCTCTGTGTGAGTCTCTGTGTGAGTCTCTGTGTGAGTCTCTGTGTGTCTCTGTGTGTGTCTCTGTGTCTCTGTGTGTGTCTCTGTGTGTGTCTCTGTGTGTGTCTCTGTATCTCTGTGTGAGTCTCTGTGTGAGTCTCTGTGTGGGTCTCTGTGTCTCTGTGTGTGTCTCTGTGTGTGTCTCTGTGTGTGTCTCTGTGGGTGTGTCTCTGTGTCTGTGTGTCTCTGTGTGAGTCTCTGTGGGTCTCTGTGTGTCTCTGTGTGAGTCTCTGTGTGTGTCTCTGTGTGTGTCTGTCTCTGTGTGAGTCTCTGTGTGTGTCTCTGTGTGAGTCTCTGTGTGTGTCTCTGTGTGTGTCTCTGTGTGAGTCTCTGTGTGTGTCTCTGTGTGTGTCTGTCTCTGTGTGAGTCTCTGTGTGTGTCTCTGTGTGAGTCTCTGTGGGTCTCTGTGGGTGTCTGTGGGTGTCTGTGGGTCTCTGTGTGTGTCTCTGTGTGTCTCTGTGAGTCTCCGTGTCTGTGTGTCTGTGTCTGTGTGTGTCTCTGTGTGTGTCTCTGTGTGTCTCTGTGTGTGTCTCTGCGTGTCTCTGTGTGTGTCTCTGTGTGAGTCTCTGTGTGTGTCTGTGTCTCTGTGTGAGTCTCTGTGTGTGTCTGTGTGTGTCTCTGTGTGTGTCTGTGTCTCTGTGTGTGTCTGTGTGTGTGTCTGTGTGAGTCTCTGTGTGTGTCTCTGTGTGTGTCTCTGTGTGTGTCTCTGTGTGTGTCTGTGTGTGTCTGTGTGTGTCTCTGTGTGAGTCTCTGTGTGAGTCTCTGTGTGAATCTCTGTGTGTGTCTCTGTGTGTGTCTCTCTGTGTGTCTCTGTGTCTGTGTGTCTGTGTGTCTCTGTGTCTGTGTGTCTGTGTGTGTCTCTGTGTGTGTCTCTGTGTGTGTCTCTGTGTGTGTCTCTGTGTGTGTCTCAGAGACCCATAGACTCACCACCACCACCACCACACAGAGACCCATAGACTCACCACCACACAGAGACCCATAGACTCACTACCACACAGAGACCCATAGACTCACCACACACACAGAGACCCATAGACTCACCACCACACAAAGACCCATAGACTCACCACCACACAGAGACCCATAGACTCACCACCACTACAGAGACCCATAGACTCACCACCACACAGAGACCCATAGACTCACCACCACACAGAGACCCATAGACTCACCACCACACAGAGACCCATAGACTCACCACCACACAGAGACCCATAGACTCACCACCACACAGAGACCCATAGACTCACCACCACACAGAGACCCATAGACTCACCACCACACAGAGACCCATAGACTCACCACCACACAGAGACCCATAGACTCACCACTACACAGAGACCCATAGACTCACCACTACACAGAGACCCACAGACTCACCACACACACAGAGACCCATAGACTCACCACCACACAGAGACCCATAGACTCACCACCACACAGAGACCCATAGACTCACCACCACACAGAGACCCATAGACTCACCACACACACAGAGACCCATAGACTCACCACCACACAGAGACGATAGACTCACCACCACACAGAGACCCATAGACTCACCACCACCACAGAGACCCATAGACTCACCACCACACAGAGACCCATAGACTCACCACCACACAGAGACCCATAGACTCACCACCACACAGAGACCCATAGACTCACCACCACACAGAGACCCATAGACTCACCACCACACAGAGACCCATAGACTCACCACCACACAGAGACCCATAGACTCACCACCACACAGAGACCCATAGACTCACCACCACACAGAGACCCATAGACTCACCACCACAGAGACCCATAGACTCACCACACACACACAGACCCATAGACTCACCACCACACAGAGACCCATAGACTCACCACCACACAGAGACCCATAGACTCACCACACACATAGACCCATAGACTCACCACCACACAGAGACCCATAGACTCACCACCACACAGAGACCCATAGACTCACCACCACCACACAGAGACCCATAGACTCACCACCACACAGAGACCCATAGACTCACCACCACACAGAGACCCATAGACTCACCACCACCACACAGAGACCCATAGACTCACCACCACACAGCGTATCTGGAGGTAAAAACCCTCTGGTCTGACACCACGGAGGGTATCTGGAGGTAAAAAATCCTCTGGTCCGACACCACAGAGGGTATCTGGAGGCAAAAAAAACCTCTGGTCTGACACCACAGAGGGTATCTGGAGGTAAAAAACCTCTGGCCTGACACCACAGAGGGTATCTGGAGGTAAAAAAAAAACCTCTGGTGGTATCTGGAGGTAAAAAAACCTCTGGTCTGACACCACAGAGGGTATCTGGAGGTAAAAAACCTCTGGTCTGACACCTCAGAGCTCTGGAAAGCTCTAATTCGATACTCACGGGAGGTGATGGTGGGTGAGTTGGTGGGTTGGTGAGTGAGTTGGTGAGTGAGTGAGTGGGTGAGTGAGTGAGTGGGTGAGTTGGTGAGTGAGTGGGTGAGTGGGTGAGTGAGTGAGTGGGTGAGTGAGTGGGTGAGTGAGTGAGTGAGTGGGTGAGTGGGTGAGTGGGTGAGTGAGTGGGTGAGTCAGTGGGTGAGTGAGCGAGTGAGTGAGTGGGTGAGTGTATGAGTGGGTGAGTGAGTGAGCGATCGAGTGGATGAATGAGTGAGTGAGTGAGTGAATGAATGAGTGAGTGGGTGAGTGAGTGAATGAGCGAGTGAGTGAATGAGTGAGTGGGTGAGTGAGTGGGTGAGTGAGTGGGTGAGTGGGTGAGTGAGTGAGTGGGCGAGTAAGTAAGTGAGTGAGTGTGTGAGTGAGTGGGTGAGTGAGTGAGTGGGTGAGTGGGTGGGTGAGTGAGCGAGTGAGTGAGTGGGTGAATGAGCGAGTGAGTGAGCGGGTGAGTGGGTGAGTGAGCGAGTGAGTGGGTGAGTGAGTGAGTGAGTGAATGAGTGAGTGGGCGAGTAAGTGAGTAAGTGAGTGAGTGAGCGAGCGAGTGGGTGAGCGAGCGAGTGGATGAATGAGCGAGCGGATGAATGAGCGAGTGAGCGACCGATCTACCACAGCCTCTGCCGCTTATACTCCACAACTCCCGCATCAAACTCACCACCACCCACACCACCACCACCACCACCCACACCACCACCACCGTACTCCAAGTGGCCAGGCCCGGCAAGCCCCAGTCCACCGCCCGGCCTGCAAGTATCCACATAGTGGCCTTGCGGACGAGCGGGCGAGCGAGCGGGCGGACGAGCGGGCGGACGAGCGTGTGGACGAGCGGGCGAACGAGCGGGCGGACGAGCGGGCGGGCGGTACGAGTCTGCATAGTGGCCGCCTAACCCCTGTGAATGCTGACCCACATAGAGGCCTTCGGGCGAGGCTTCTGGTGACGGCAATACGTGTGCCGTAGGAGGAGGCGTGGCGGTGTTGGCGGTGGTGCCGGTGTTGGTGGTGCCGGTGAGGCCGGCAAGGCCGGCGAGGCCGGCGGGGAAGGTTTTGCCGAAGGCTTGAGGGTGAGGAGGTGACGGGCAAAAACGTTTACGGCGTGGTGGTGGTGGTGGTGGCGGTGGTGGTGGCTGTGGCTGTGGTTGGGGTGGGGAGGATAGAGGAATCATCATCTGTATCAGTATCATCATCAGTAGTAGTAGTATCATCATCTGTATCATCATCATCAGTAGTAGTATCATCATCAGTAGTAGTATCATCATCATCATCAGTAGTAGTATCATCATCATCATCATCAGTAGTAGTATCATCATCATCAGTAGTAGTATCATCATCATCAGTAGTAGTAGTATCATCATCACCATCTGTATCAGTATCATCATCATCAGTAGGAGTATCATCATCATCATCAGTAGTAGTATCATCAGTACAAGTATCATCATCAGTCGTAGTAGCGTCATCAGTAGTAGTATCATCATCAGTAGTAGTATCATCATCAGTAGTAGTATCATCATCAGTAGTAGTAGTATCATCATCATCAGCAACAGTATCATCATCAGTAGTAGTATCATCATCATCATCAGTAGTAGTATCATCATCAGTAGTAGTAGTAGTACCATCATCAGTAATAGTATCATCATCATCATCAGTAGTAACATCATCATCATCAGTAGTAGTATCATCATCAGTAGTATCATCATCATCATCATCAGTAGTATCATCAGTAGCATCATCATCATCATCAGTAGTATCATCATCATCAGTAGTAGTATCATCATCAAAAGTAGTATCGTCATCATCAGTAGTAGTAGTATCATCATCATCAGTAGTATCATCATCATCAGTAGTATCATCATCAGTAGTAGTATCATCATCATCATCAGTAGTAGTATCATCAGGTGAGTGTGTGTGAGCAATGATGATAGTACAACTGATGATGATACTACTACTGATGATGATACTACTGATGATGATACTACTACTGATGATGATACTACTACTGATGATGATGATACTACTGATGATGATACTACTGATGATGATGATACTACTACTGATGATCATGATGATGATACTACTACTGATGATGATGATACTACTACTGATGATGATACTACTACTGATAATGATACTACTACTACTGATGATGATACTACTACTGATGATGATACTACTGATGATGATACTACTACTGATGATGATGATGATACTACTACTGATGATGATGATGATACTACTACTGATGATGATACTACTACTGATGATGATGATACTACTACTGATGATGATATTACTACTGATGATGATGATACTACTACTGATGATGATACTACTGATGATGATGATACTACTACTGATGATAATGATGATGATACTACTACTGATGATGATGATACTACTACTGATGATGATGATACTACTACTGATGATGATGATACTACTACTGATGATGATACTACTGATGATGATACTACTGATGATGATGATACTACTACTGATGATGATACTTGTACTGATGATACTTGTACTGATGATACTTGTACTGATGATGATACTACTACTGATAATAATGATGATACTACTACTGATGATGATACTACTGATGATGATACTACTACTACTGATGATGATACTACTACTAATGATGATGCTACCGATGATGATACTACTACTGATGATAATACTACTACTGATGATGATACTACTGATGATGATACTACTACTGATGATGATACTACTACTGATGATGATACTACTGATGATGATGATACTACTACTGATGATGATGATACTACTACTGATGATGATAATACTACTGATGATACTACTACTACTGATGATACTACTACTGATGATACTACTACTACTACTGATGATGATACTGATGATGATGAAGATACTACTACTGATGATGATACTACTAATGATACTACTGATGATGATACTACTGATGATGATGATACTACTGATGATGACACTACTACTACTGATGATGATACTACTGATGATGATGACGATACTGATGATGATGATGATGATACTACTGATGATGATACTTCTACCGATGATGATACTACTACTGATGATGATGATACTACTACTACTGATGATGATACTACTACTACTGATGATGATACTACTACTGATGATGATGATACTACTGATGATGATGATACTACTACTGATGATGATGATACTACTGATGATGATGATACTACTGATGATGATACTACTGATGATGATGATACTACTGATGATGATGCTACTACTGATGATGATACTACTGATGATGATGATGATACTACTGATGATGATGATACTACTGATGATGATGATACTGATGATACTACTACTGATGATGATGATACTGATGATGATGATGATACTACTACTGATGATGATGATACTACTACTGATGATACTTCTACTGATGATGATACTATTACTACTAATGATGATGGTACTACTACTGATGATGATACTAGTGATGATGATGAAAATACTACTACTAATGATGATACTACTAATGATGATACTACTGATGATGATACTACTACTGATGATGATACTGATGATGATGATACTGATGATGATGATACTACTGATGATGATGATACTGATGATACTACTACTGATGATGATACTACTGATGATGATACTACTGATGACGATATTACTGATGATGATACTACTACTACTGATGATGATGATGCTACTGATGATGATACTGTTGATGATGATGATACTTCTACTGATGATGATTTTGTACCTGGGGTCTCCACGGGCTGGACACGGCGTGGCGATGATCAAAGGAAACTTCCTCGAGGTAGCAACGGAGAAATCCAGAGCGGCCATCAAGATCCTCAACGTGAAGAGACACAGAGAGAGAGAGTGGGTGGGTGAGTGGGTGGGTGAGTGGGTGGGTGAGTGAGTGGGTGGGTGGGTGGGTGAGTGGGTGGGTGAGAGGGTGGGTGAGAGGGTGAGTGAGTGGGTGGGTGAGAGGGTGGGTGAGAGGGTGAGTGAGTGGGTGGGTGAGTGGGTGGGTGAGAGGGTGAGTGAGTGGGTGGGTGAGTGAGTGAGTGAGTGGGTGAGTGAGTGGGTGAGTGAGTGGGTGAGTGAGTGAGTGGGTGAGTGAGTGAGTGAGTGGGTGAGTGAGTGTGTGGGTGAGTGAGTGGGTGAGTGAGTGGGTGAGTGAGTGGGTGAGTGAGTGGGTGAGTGAGTGGGTGAGTGGGTGAGTGAGTGGGTGAGTGAGTGGGTGAGTGAGTGGGTGAGTGAGTGGGTGAGTGAGTGGGTGAGTGAGTGGGTGAGTGAGTGAGTGGGTGAGTGAGTGAGTGGGTGAGTGAGTGGGTGGGTGAGTGAGTGAGTGGGTGAGTGAGTGAGTGGGTGAGTGAGTGGGTGAGTGAGTGAGTGAGTGGGTGAGTGAGTGGGTGAGTGACTATCATGAAACTTACTTCAAAATTATCATCATGGTGGCTGTCCCAGGAGAATCCAGAATCCTGTTGAGACACGGACACCGTGAACCCCACCCACCCACCCACACGGCCACCGTGAACCCCACCCACCCACCCACACGGACATCGTGAATCACAGTGAAAGTCGTACTGGGTGTGGAGAATTACAAAATCAAGCGTCAACGTGAGTGAGTGGGTGGGTGAGAGGGTGAGTGGGTGAGTGGGTGGGTGGGTGGGTGAGTGGGTGAGTGAGTGGGTGAGTGAGTGGGTGAGTGAGTGAGTGAGTGGGTGAGTGAGTGAGTGAGTGGGTGAGTGAGTGAGTGAGTGGGTGAGTGGGTGGGTGGGTGAGTGAGTGGGTGGGTGAGTGGGTGAGTGGTGAGTGAGTGGGTGGGTGAGTGAGTGGGTGGGTGGGTGAGTGAGTGGGTGGGTGAGTGGGTGAGTGAGCTGGTGAGTGAACGAGTGACTGACTGAGTGACTGAGTGACTGACTGACTGACTGACTGAGTGACTGACTGAGTCACTGACTGACTGACTGAGTGACTGAGTGACTGACTGACTGACTGAGTGACTGACTGAGTGACTGACTGAGTGACTGACTGACTGAGTGACTGACTGAGTGAGTAACTGACTGAGTGACTGACTGACTGAGTGACTGACTGACTGAGTGACTGACTGAGTGACTGACTGAGTGACTGACTGAGTGACTGACTGACTGAGTGACTGACTGAGTGACTGACTGAGTGACTGACTGAGTGACTGAGTGAAGCTCACCACAACAGCAGAGTTGGTGTAGTGTTGTGTCCGGAGCTGCTGCTGCTGCTGCTGCTGGTGTTGGTGTTGCTGGTGTTGTTGCTGGTGCTGGTGTTGTTGCTGGTGGTGGTGGTGTTGTTGGTGTTGGTGGTGGTGTTGGTGTTGCTGGCTATAGAACACTGCCGGGAGTGGACTGTCAGCACTGGGCATGAGCCCAACCAAACTCACACCACCACCACCACCACCGCCACCACCACCACCACCGCCACCACCACCACCACCACCGCCACCACCACCACCACCACCACCGCCACGTCTCAACGGAGGCGTCCGCAGAATACTGGGCAAAGAGTCGGGGAATCCAAATTCACCTGGGGGAGAGATACAGAGTGGTGGTGGTGGTGAGTGTGGTGGTGGTGGTGGTGAGTGTGGTGGTGGTGGTGGTGAGTGTGGTGGTGGTGGTGGTGGTGAGTGTGGTGGTGAGTGTGGTGGTGGTGGTGGTGGTGAGTGTGGTGGTGAGTGTGGTGGTGGTGAGTGTGGTGGTGAGTGTGGTGGTGGTGGTGAGTGTGGTGGTGGTGAGTGTGGTGGTGAGTGTGGTGGTGGTGAGTGTGGTGGTGGTGAGTGTGGTGGTGAGTGTGGTGGTGGTGGTGAGTGTGGTGGTGAGTGTGGTGGTGAATGTGGTGGTGGTGAGTGTGGTGGTGGTGGTGGTGAGTGTGGTGGTGGTGGTGAATGTGGTGGTGGTGAGTGTGGTGGTGGTGGTGAGTCTCACCATGGTGGTGGTGAGTGTGGTGGTGGTGGTGAGTGTGGTGGTGAGTCTCACCATGGTGGTGGTGAGTGTGGTGGTGGTGGTGGTGGTGAGTCTCACCATGGTGGTGGTGGTGGTGGTGAGTGTGGTGGTGGTGAGTCTCACCGTGGTGGTGGTGGTGAGTGGTGAGTGTGGTGGTGGTGAGTCTCACCATGGTGGTGGTGGTGGTGGTGAGTGTGGTGGTGGTGAGTCTCACCGTGGTGGTGGTGGTGGTGAGTGTGGTGGTGGTGAGTCTCACCGTGGTGGTGGTGGTGAGTGGTGAGTGTGGTGGTGGTGAGTCTCACCATGGTGGTGGTGAGTGTGGTGGTGGTGAGTCTCACCATGGTGGTGGTGGTGAGTGTGGTGGTGAGTGTGGTAGTGATGGTGGTGGTGGTGAGTCTCACCATGGTGGTGGTGGTGGTGAGTGTGGTGGTGGTGGTGGTGAGTGTGGTGGTGAGTGTGGTGGTGAGTGTGGTGGTGAGTGTGGTGGTGGTGGTGAGTGTGGTGGTGGTGGTGGTGAGTGTGGTGGTGAGTGTGGTGGTGAGTGTGGTGGTGAGTGTGGTGGTGGTGGTGAGTCTCACCATGGTGGTGGTGGTGAGGACGTCTCTGAGCTCCAGGTGGCTCCCCCAGTAGTGACCCAGAACGCAGCTGGGACACAGAGACAGAGACACAGAGACAGAGACACACACAGTTAGACACACAGAGACACACACAGAGACACACACAGAGACACACACAGAGACACACACAGAGACACACACAGAGACACACAGAGACTCACACAGAGACACACACAGAGACACACACAGAGACACACACAGAGACACACACAGAGACACACAGAGACACACACACACAGTCACACACACACAGACACACAGTTAGACACACACAGAGACACACACACAGTTAGACACACACACAGTTAGACACACACAGAGACACACACAGAGACACACACAGAGACACACACAGAGACACACACAGACAGACACACACAGAGACTCACACAGAGACACACACAGACAGAGACACATAGAGACACACACAGAGACACACACAGAGACACACACACACAGACACACACACACAGACACACACACACACACAGACACACACACAGACACACAGAGACACACACACACACACAGACAGAGACACACACAGAGACACAGAGACACACACAGACACACACAGAGACACAGACACACAGAGACACACACAGACAGACACACACAGAGACACGTAACAAAAAAAATACAAAGTTTTTTAAAAGTTAACAAAAAACTAAAATCGAAAAATCGAAAAAAACCTAAAAATGTATAAACATTTTTTTTAAAAATTTTACTTTTCATTTACACTTTAAAAATATATATTTCAAATAAAATAAGGTAATTAAAGATACATGTTTTGACTAGTTTGTTTATTAAAAAAAAACATCAAATTTTATTTTTTTACCAAAATTTAAGTAAAAAATTAACATTCATTTTTTTTTAAAACCCTCAACCACGTAAAAAACAAAGATACATTTTAAAAACAAAAATTTTTAAAAAAAGTTACCACATTTTTTTAAACTACCAACTACATCGAAAAAACGTTTAACAAAACAAACCTACAATTTATAAAAATAACAAAAATATAATAATTTCACTTTTTAAAAATATATATATATTTCAAATAAAATAATGTAATTAAAGATACATGTTTTGACTAGTTTGTTAATTAAATAAAAACCACATCAAATTTTAAAAAAAATTTTACCAAAAAATGTAACTAAAAAAATTAACATTAATTTTTTTTTAAAAACCCTCAACCACGTAAAAAAAGAGACACATTTTAAAAACTGAAATTTCAAAAAAAAATTTACCACATTTTTTTCAACTATCAACTACATTTAAATTAAATTACAAATAAAATTAAAAATAAAAGCATCAAAAACACACAAATGCGTTTACTTAATTCATCAATTAAATATTCTTGGTTCTTTCGGTGAAGTCGCGAAGGTGGAAAATAAAAATTAATTTTACTTTTAAATTAAATTGTTATACTCGCAATGCTTAGTAAAAAATTTTGTTCAAGCGAAAATGTTAAAACTACTTTTTTTTTACGATTTTTTTAAAAATTTGTTTTTAAGTAATAATTATGAAGTCGCAAAGATGGAAAATAAAATTAAAATATATTTTACATTTAAATTAAATTACAAATAAAATTAAAAATAAAAGCATCAAAAACACACAAATGCGTTTACTTAATTCATCAATTAAATATTCTTGGTTCTTTCGGTGAAGTCGCGAAGGTGGAAAATAAAAATTAATTTTACTTTTAAATTAAAATGTTATACTCACAATGTTCAGTAAAATGTTTTTTTTGTTCAAGCAAAAATGTTAAAACTACTTTTTTTTTACGATTTTTTTTAAAATTTATTTTTAAGCAATAATATTTATGAAGTCGCGAAGATGGAAAATAAAAAATAAAATAAATTTTACATTTAAATTAAGTTACAAATAAAATTAAAAGCATCAAAACAAAATGCGTTTTATTAACTCAGCAATTAAATATTCTTGGTTCTTTCGGTGAAGTCACGAAGGTGGGAAATTAAAATAAATTTTTACATTTCAATTAAATTACAAATAAAATTAAAAATAAAAGCATTAAAAACACCAAATGCGTTTTGTTAATTCATCAATTAAATATTCTTGGTTCTTTCGGTGAAGTCGCGAAGGTGGAAAATAAAAATTTATTTTACTTTTAAATTAAAATGTTATACTCGCAATGCTTAGTAAATGTTTTTTGTTCAAGCAAAAATGTTAAAACTACATTTTTTTAACGATTTTTTTAAAAATTTATTTTTAAGTAACAATATTTATGAAGTCGCGAAGATGGAAAATAAAATAAATAAATCTTACATTTAAATTAAGTTACAAATAAAATTAAAAGCATCAAAACGCACAAATGCGTTTTATTAATTCATCAATTAAATATTCTTGGTTCTTTCGGTGAAGTCGCGAAGATGGAAAATAAAAATAAATTTTACTTTTAAATTTAAATGTTATACTCGCAATGTTGAGTAAAATGTTTTTTTTGTTCAAGCAAAAATGTTAAAACTACATTTTTTTAACGATTTTTTTTACATTTATTTGTAAGTAACAATATTTATGAAGTCGCAAAGATGGAAAATAAAATTAAAATAAATTTTACATTTAAATTAAGTTACAAATAAAATTAAAAATAAAAGCATCAAAAACACACAAATGCGTTTTATTAATTCATCAATTAAATATTCTTGGTTCTTTCGGTGAAGTCGCGAAGGTGGAAAATAAAAATTAATTTTACTTTTAAATTAAAATGTTATACTCGCAATGCTTAGTAAATGTTTTTTGTTCAAGCAAAAATGTTAAAACTACATTTTTTTAACGATTTTTAAAAAAAAATATTTTTAAGCAACAATATTTATGAAGTCGCGAAGATGGAAAATAAAATAAATAAATCTTACATTTAAATTAAGTTACAAATAAAATTAAAAGCATCAAAACGCACAAATGCGTTTTATTAATTCATCAATTAAATATTCTTGGTTCATTCGGTGAAGTCGCGAAGGTGGAAAATAAAAATTAATTTTACTTTTAAATTAAAATGTTATACTCGCAATGCTTAGTAAAAAATTTTGTTCAAGCGAAAATGTTAAAACTACTTTTTTTTTACGATTTTTTTTTAAATTTGTTTTTAAGTAATAATTATGAAGTCGCAAAGATGGAAAATAAAATTAAAATATATTTTACATTTAAATTAAATTACAAATAAAATTAAAAATAAAAGCATCAAAAACACACAAATGCGTTTACTTAATTCATCAATTAAATATTCTTGGTTCTTTTGGTGAAGTCGCGAAGGTGGAAAATAAAAATTAATTTTACTTTTAAATTAAAATGTTATACTCACAATGTTGAGTAAAAAATGTTTTTGTTCAAGCGAAAATGTTAAAACTACATTTTTTTTACGATTTTTTTATTTGTTTTTAAGTAACAATATTTATGAAGTCACGAAGATGGAAAATATATTTTACATTTAAATTAAATTACAAATAAAATAAAAAATAAAAGCATCAAAAAACCAAAATGCGTTTTATTAATTCATCAATTAAATATTCTTGGTTCTTTCGGTGAAGTCGCGAAGATGGAAAATAAAAATTAATTTTACTTTTAAATTTAAATGTTATACTCGCAATGTTGAGTAAAACATTTTTTTTGTTCAAGCAAAAATGTTAAAACTACATTTTTTTAACGATTTTTTTAAAATTTATTTTTAAGTAACAATATTTATTAAGTCGCGAAGATGGAAAATAAAAAATAAATAAAATTTACATTTAAATTAAGTTACAAATAAAATTAAAACTAAAAGCATTAAAAAACCAAAATGCATTATGTTAATTCATCAATTAAATATTCTTGGTTCTTTCGGTGAAGTCGCGAAGGTGGAAAATAAAAATTAATTTTACTTTTAAATTAAAATGTTATACTCGCAATGCTTAGTAAATGTTTTTTGTTCAAGCAAAAATGTTAAAACTACATTTTTTTAACGATTTTTAAAAAAATTATTTTTAAGTAACAATATTTATGAAGTCGCAAAGATGGAAAATATATTTTACATTTAAATTAAATTACAAATAAAATTAAAAATAAAAGCATTTAAACACATAAATGTTAAAACTACATTTTTTTAACGATTTTTAAAAAAATTATTTTTAAGTAACAATATTTATGAAGTCGCAAAGATGGAAAATATATTTTACATTTAAATTAAATTACAAATAAAATTAAAAATAAAAGCATTTAAACACATAAATGAGTTTTATTAATTCATCAATTAAATATTCTAGGTTCTTTCGGTGAAGTCGCGAAGGTGGAAAATAAAAATTAATTTTACTTTTAAATTAAAATGTTATACTCACAATGTTGAGTAAAAAATGTTTTTGTTCAAGCGAAAATGTTAAAACTACATTTTTTTTACGATTTTTTTTTATTTGTTTTTAAGTAACAATATTTATGAAGTCACGAAGATGGAAAATATATTTTACATTTAAATTAAATTACAAATAAAATTAAAAATAAAAGCATCAAAAAACCAAAATGCGTTTTATTAATTCATCAATTAAATATTCTTGGTTCTTTCGGTGAAGTCGCGAAGATGGAAAATAAAAATTAATTTTACTTTTAAATTTAAATGTTATACTCGCAATGTTGAGTAAAACATTTTTTTGTTCAAGCAAAAATGTTAAAACTACATTTTTTTAACGATTTTTTTAAAATTTATTTTTAAGTAACAATATTTATTAAGTCGCGAAGATGGAAAATAAAAAATAAATAAAATTTACATTTAAATTAAGTTACAAATAAAATTAAAACTAAAAGCATTAAAAAACCAAAATGCATTATGTTAATTCATCAATTAAATATTCTTGGTTCTTTCGGTGAAGTCGCGAAGGTGGAAAATAAAAATTAAGTTTACTTTTAAATTAAAATGTTATACTCGCAATGCTTAGTAAATGTTTTTTGTTCAAGCAAAAATGTTAAAACTACATTTTTTTAACGATTTTTAAAAAAATTATTTTTAAGTAACAATATTTATGAAGTCGCAAAGATGGAAAATATATTTTACATTTAAATTAAATTACAAATAAAATTAAAAATAAAAGCATTTAAACACATAAATGAGTTTTATTAATTCATCAATTAAATATTCTTGGTTCTTTCGGTGAAGTCGCGAAGGTGGAAAATAAAAATTTATTTTACTTTTAAATTAAAATGTTATACTCGCAATGCTTAGTAAATGTTTTTTTGTTCAAGCAAAAATGTTAAAACTACATTTTTTTAACGATTTTTTTAAAAATTTATTTTTAAGCAACAATATTTATGAAGTCGCGTAGATGGAAAATAAAAATTAAAATAAATTTTATATTTAAATAAAGTTACAAATAAAATTTAAAATGAAAGCATTAAAACACATAAATGCGTTTTATTAATTTTAGCAATTAAATATTCTTGGTTCTTTTGGTGAAGTCGCGTAGGTAAAAAAAAAATATGAAAAAATGTAATACAAATAATAAATTAAAATAATACATTTAAATCGTAAAAAAAATATATTAAGAAAAACCAAAAATAATATTTATGTTTTATTATTTAACATTTTCAGTTTTATAATTGTATTTTTTTTTATTTAACACTTCCTTTTCATTTAACTTTTAGTTTTTTTTTTAGTTTTCTATCCTCGTGAAAGTTTCAAGTCTACAGTTTAGCAATTTAAACAACAAAACAACATTTTTTAAAATCAAAAACCTCAGGCATCGCCCTGGACGAGGGCCGGAGCAGCGAGGACCCCGGAGCGCCCAGCTGGGCAGGCAGCGCCTCGGACGCCCCAACGGCGTCGCCCGGCAACCCGAGGACCCCAAGGAAGGGGCGGGGAGGGGCACCTGGAAAGTGGGGGAGGGGGCACGGCAACAGCCAATCAGGAGACTCCAAAAAGAATTATTAATAGAGGGTGGGGGAGGGCCATTGTGATTGGTCCCGCCCACCTTAAGGTCACCCCCGCCCACCGAAGGTCACCCGCCCACAGTACCTGGAGGTTCTCCCAGAATGCTTTGCGCCATGCAGAGCGGCGGTGACGCTGTCAAGCGCGGGGTCACGACCCCACACGGAGCTTCACCCAGAATGCCCGGCTTCTGTGGGCAGAGTGGGTGGGGTGAGTGAGTGAGTGGGTGGGTGAGTGAGTGGGTGGGTGAGTGAGTGAGTGGGTGAGTGAGTGGGTGGGTGGGTGAGTGGGTGGGTGAGTGGGTGAGTGGGTGGGTGGGTGGGTGAGTGGGTGGGTGGGTGGGTGAGTGAGTGAGTGAGTGGGTGGGTGGGTGAGTGGGTGGGTGAGTGAGTGGGTGGGTGAGTGAGTGGGTGGGTGAGTGGGTGGGTGAGTGAGTGGGTGGGTGGGTGGGTGAGTGAGTGGGTGGGTGGGTGGGTGAGTGGGTGGGTGAGTGAGTGGGTGGGTGGGTGGGTGAGTGGGTGGGTGAGTGAGTGGGTGGGTGAGTGAGTGGGTGGGTGAGTGGGTGGGTGGGTGAGTGGGTGGGTGGGTGGGTGGGTGGGTGAGTGGGTGGGTGGGTGGGTGAGTGAGTGAGTGAGTGGGTGGGTGGGTGAGTGGGTGGGTGAGTGAGTGGGTGGGTGAGTGAGTGGGTGGGTGAGTGGGTGGGTGAGTGAGTGGGTGGGTGGGTGGGTGAGTGAGTGGGTGGGTGGGTGGGTGAGTGAGTGGGTGGGTAGGTGAGTGGGTGAGTGGGTGAGTGACTGGGTGAGTGAGTGGGTGGGTGGGTGAGTGGGTGGGTGGGTGAGTGAGTGGGTGGGTGAGTGGGTGGGTGAGTGGGTGGGTGAGTGAGTGGGTGGGTGAGTGGGTGAGTGGGTGAGTGAGTGGGTGAGTGAGTGGGTGGGTGAGTGGGTGGGTGAGTGAGTGGGTGGGTGAGTGGGTGAGTGGGTGGGTGGGTGAGTGGGTGGGTGAGTAAGTGGGTGGGGTGAGTGAGTGAGTGGGTGGGTGAGTGAGTGGGTGGGTGGGTGAGTGGGTGGGTGGGTGAGTGAGTAGGTGGGTGAGTGAGTGGGTGAGTGGGTGAGTGAGTGAGTGGGTGAGTGAGTGAGTGGGTGAGTGAGTGGGTGAGTGAGTGAGTGAGAGGGTGAGTGAGTGAGTGGGTGAGTGAGTGAGTGAGAGGGTGAGTGAGTGAGTGGGTGGGTGGGTGAGTGAGTGGGTGGGTGAGTGGGTGAGTGGGTGAGTGAGTGAGTGAGAGGGTGAGTGAGTGAGTGAGTGGGTGGGTGAGTGAGTGGGTGGGTAGGTGAGTGGGTGAGTGGGTGAGTGAGTGGGTGAGTGAGTGGGTGGGTGAGTGAGTGGGTGGGTGAGTGGGTGGGTGGGTGAGTGAGTGGGTGGGTGAGTGGGTGGGTGAGTGAGTGGGTGAGTGAGTGAGTGGGTGGGTGAGTGAGTGAGTGGGTGGGTGGGTGAGTGGGTGGGTGAGTAAGTGGGTGGGGTGAGTGAGTGAGTGGGTGGGTGAGTGAGTGGGTGGGTGGGTGAGTGGGTGGGTGGGTGAGTGAGTAGGTGGGTGAGTGAGTGGGTGAGTGGGTGAGTGAGTGAGTGAGTGGGTGAGTGAGTGAGTGGGTGAGTGAGTGAGTGGGTGGGTGGGTGAGTGAGTGGGTGGGTGAGTGGGTGAGTGGGTGAGTGGGTGAGTGAGTGAGTGAGAGGGTGAGTGAGTGGGTGAGTGGGTGGGTGAGTGAGTTGGTGGGTGAGTGAGTGGATGAGTGGGTGAGTGAGTGGGTGACTCTCACGTTATTTGGGGGTTCGTTCCAGGGAGACGAGAGGGGTACACCACCACCACCAACCATCGCCGCCTGGAGACAGAGACCACCCAGTCAGTCACTCAGTCAGTCAGTCAGTGAGTTAGTCAGTCACCCAGTCAGTCACTCAGTGAGTTAGTCAGTCACCCAGTCAGTCACTCAGTGAGTTAGTCAGTCACCCAGTCAGTCACTCAGTCACTCACCCAGTCAGTCAGTCAGTCACTCACCCAGTCACTCACTCAGTCACTCACCCAGTCACTCACTCACCCACTCACTCAGTCACTTACCCAGTCACTCACTAAGTCACTCACTCACTCACCCACCCACTCACTCACTCACCCACCCACTCACTCACTCACTCACCCATCCACTCACTCACCCACCCACTCACTCACCCACCCACTCACTCACCCACCCACCCACCCACTCACCCACCCACTCACTCACCCACCCACCCACTCACTCACCCACCCACTCACCCACCCACCCACTCCCCCACCCACCCACTCACCCACCCACCCACCCACTCACTCACCCACCCACTCACTCACCCACTCACTCACTCACCCACTCACCAACCCACTCACCCACCCACTCACCCACCCACTCACTCACCCACTCACTCACCCACCCACTCACTCACTCACCCACCCACTCACTCACCCACCCACTCACTCACCCACTCACTCACCCACCCACCCACTCACTCACTCACCCACTCACCCACTCACTCACTCACCCACTCACTCACCCACCCACTCACCCACCCACTCACTCCGCACCATCACCTGTTGTAGCTGCTGCTGGAGGTGAGCGTGGAGGTGAGGAGTGTTGAGGTGAGGAGTGTTGAGGTGAGGGTGGAGGTGAGGGAGGGCCAGTTGCAGGAGGAGTGCAGCTACAGCCGGTCCACTCACCAGGTTACCTGCCGGGGCGAGACCAGCTCACCAACTCGCTCACCAACTCGCTCACCAACTCACCAACTCGCTCACCAACTCGCTCACCAACTCACCAACTCGCTCACCAACTCGCTCACCAACTCGCTCACCAACTCGCTCACCAACTCACCAACTCGCTCGCCAACTCACCAACTGGCTCACCAACTCGCTCACCAACTCGCTCACCAACTCGCTCACCAACTCACCAACTCGCTCACCCATTCACTCACCAACTCGCTCACCCACTCACTCACCCACTCACTCACTCACCAACTCGCTCACCAACTCGCTCACCAACTCGCTCACCAACTCGCTCACCAACTCGCTCACCAACTCGCTCACCAACTCGCTCACCAACTTGCTCACCAACTCACCAACTCGCTCACCAACTCACCCATTCACTCACCAACTCACTCACCAACTTGCTCACCAACTCGCTCACCAACTTGCTCACCAACTCGCTCACCAACTCGCTCACCAACTCGCTCACCAACTCACCAACTCGCTCACCCATTCACTCACCAACTCACTCACCAACTTGCTCACCAACTCGCTCACCAACTTGCTCACCAACTCGCTCACCAACTCGCTCACCAACTCGCTCACCAACTCACCAACTCGCTCACCCATTCACTCACCAACTCACTCACCAACTCGCTCACCAACTCGCTCACCAACTTGCTCACCAACTCACCAACTCGCTCACCAACTCACCAACTCGCTCACCCATTCACTCACCAACTCACTCACCAACTCGCTCACCAACTCCCTCACTCGCTCACTCACTCGCTCACCCACCCACTCACCAACTCGCTCACCAACTCGCTCACCAACTCACCAACTCGCTCACCCATTCACTCACCAACTCACTCACCAACTCACTCACCAACTCACTCACCAACTCACTCACCAACTCGCTCACCAACTCACTCACCAACTCACCCGCTCACCCACTCACTCACCAACTCACCCGCTCACCCACTCACCAACTCACTCACCCAATCACCAACTCACTCACCCACCAACTCGCTCACCAACTCGCTCACCAACTCGCTCACCAACTCACTCACTCACCCACCCTCTCACTCACCCACCCACTCACTCACCCACCCACTCACTCACCCACTCACTCACCCCCTCACCCACCCACTCACCCACTCACCAACCCACCCACTCACCCACTCACCAACCCACCCACCCACCAACTCACGCACCCACTCACCCACTCACCAACCCACCCACCCACCAACTCACCCACTCACCCACCCACTCACCCACCCACCCACTCACTCACCCACCCACTCACTCACCCACCCACCCACCCACTCACTCACCCACCCACCCACTCACTCACCCACCCACCCACCCACTCACTCACTCACCAACCCACCCACCCACCAACTCACCCACCCACTCACCCACTCACCAACCCACCCACCCACCAACTCACCCACTCACCCACCCACTCACCCACCCACCCACTCACTCACCCACCCACTCACTCACCCACCCACCCACCCACTCACTCACCCACCCACCCACTCACTCACCCACCCACCCACTCACTCACCCACTCACCCACTCACTCACCCACCCACCAACCCACTCACCCACCCACCCACTCACCCACCCACTCACCCACCCACTCACCCACCCACCCACTTACCCACTCACTCACTCACCCACTCACTCACTCACTCACCCACTCACTCACCCATTCACTCACTCACCCACTCACCCACCCTCTCACTCACCAGCAGGAGGCTGCATGAGGAGCTGCAAGGCTGGGCTCCATGGCTCAGGCAAGAGAGGCTTCGGTATGGCCTAGTGGGGGAGAGAGACACGGGGAGGGAGAGTGGTGGGTGAGTGGGTGAGTGGGTGGGTGGGTGGGTGAGTGGGTGGGTAGGTGGGTGAGTGGGTGGGTGAGTGGGTGAGTGAGTGGGTGGGTGAGTGGGTGATTGGGTGATTGAGTGAGTGGGTGAGTGAGTGGGTGAGTGAGTGAGTGGGTGAGTGAGTGAGTGAGTGGTGAGTGGGTGGGTGAGTGAGTGAGTGGTGAGTGAGTGGTGAGTGAGTGGTGAGTGAGTGAGTGGTGAGTGAGTGGTGAGTGAGTGGTGAGTGAGTGAGTGGTGAGTGAGTGGTGAGTGAGTGAGTGGTGAGTGAGTGGTGAGTGAGTGGTGAGTGAGTGGTGAGTGAGTGGGTGAGTGAGTGAGTGGTGAGTGGGTGGGTGAGTGAGTGAGTGGGTGAGTGGGTGAGTGAGTGGTGAGTGAGTGAGTGGTGAGTGTGGTGAGTGAGTGGTGAGTGAGTGGTGAGTGAGTGGTGAGTGGGTGAGTGGTGAGTGAGTGGTGAGTGAGTGGTGAGTGAGTGTGGTGAGTGAGTGGTGAGTGAGTGGTGAGTGAGTGGTGAGTGAGTGGTGAGTGAGTGAGTGAGTGGTGAGTGAGTGGTGAGTGAGTGGTGAGTGGTGAGTGAGTGAGTGAGTGGTGAGTGAGTGGTGAGTGAGTGGGTGAGTGAGTGGGTGAGTGAGTGGGTGAGTGAGTGGGTGAGTGAGTGAGTGGGTGAGTGGTGAGTGAGTGGTGAGTGAGTGGTGAGTGAGTGGTGAGTGAGTGGTGAGTGAGTGGTGAGTGAGTGGGTGAGTGAGTGAGTGGTGAGTGGTGAGTGAGTGGTGAGTGAGTGGTGAGTGAGTGGTGAGTGAGTGAGTGGGTGAGTGAGTGGTGAGTGAGTGGTGAGTGAGTGGTGAGTGAGTGAGTGGTGAGTGAGTGGTGAGTGAGTGGTGAGTGAGTGGTGAGTGTGGTGAGTGAGTGAGTGGTGAGTGAGTGGTGAGTGAGTGGTGAGTGAGTGGTGAGTGGTGAGTGAGTGAGTGGTGAGTGAGTGGTGAGTGAGTGGTGAGTGAGTGGTGAGTGAGTGAGTGAGTGGTGAGTGAGTGAGTGAGTGGTGAGTGAGTGAGTGGGTGAGTGAGTGGGTGAGTGGGTGAGTGAGTGGTTGAGTGAGTGGGTGAGTGAGTGGTGAGTGAGTGGTGAGTGAGTGGTGAGTGAGTGGTGAGTGAGTGAGTGGTGAGTGAGTGGTGAGTGAGTGGTGAGTGTGTGGTGAGTGAGTGGTGAGTGAGTGGTGAGTGAGTGGTGAGTGAGTGAGTGGTGAGTGAGTGAGTGGTGAGTGAGTGGTGAGTGAGTGGTGAGTGAGTGGTGAGTGAGTGAGTGAGTGGTGAGTGAGTGAGTGAGTGGTGAGTGAGTGGTGAGGGAGTGAGTGGGTGAGTGAGTGGGTGAGTGAGTGGGTGAGTGAGTGGTGAGTGAGTGGTGAGTGAGTGGTGAGTGAGTGGTGAGTGAGTGAGTGAGTGGGTGAGTGAGTGGTGAGTGAGTGGTGAGTGAGTGAGTGGTGAGTGAGTGGTGAGTGAGTGGTGAGTGAGTGAGTGGTGAGTGAGTGGTGAGTGGTGAGTGAGTGGTGAGTGAGTGGGTGAGTGAGTGAGTGGTGAGTGAGTGGTGAGTGAGTGGTGAGTGAGTGGTGAGTGAGTGAGTGGTGAGTGAGTGGTGAGTGAGTGGTGAGTGAGTGGTGAGTGAGTGGGTGAGTGAGTGAGTGGTGAGTGAGTGAGTGGTGAGTGAGTGAGTGGTGAGTGAGTGGTGAGTGAGTGGTGAGTGAGTGAGTGGTGAGTGAGTGGTGAGTGAGTGGTGAGTGAGTGAGTGGTGAGTGAGTGGTGAGTGAGTGGTGAGTGAGTGGTGAGTGAGTGGTGAGTGGGTGGTGAGTGAGTGGTGAGTGAGTGGTGAGTGAGTGGTGAGTGAGTGGTGAGTGAGTGGTGAGTGGTGAGTGAGTGGTGAGTGAGTGGTGAGTGAGTGGTGAGTGGGTGGTGAGTGAGTGGTGAGTGGTGAGTGAGTGAGTGGTGAGTGAGTGGTGAGTGAGTGGTGAGTGAGTGGTGAGTGAGTGGTGAGTGAGTGCTGAGTGAGTGGTGAGTGAGTGGTGAGTGAGTGGTGAGTGAGTGGTGAGTGAGTGCTGAGTGAGTGGTGAGTGAGTGGTGAGTGGGTGGTGAGTGAGTGAGTGGTGAGTGAGTGGTGAGTGAGTGGTGAGTGGGTGGTGAGTGAGTGGTGAGTGAGTGGTGAGTGAGTGGTGAGTGAGTGGGTGAGTGAGTGGTGAGTGAGTGGTGAGTGAGTGGTGAGTGAGTGAGTGGTGAGTGAGTGAGTGGTGAGTGAGTGGTGAGTGAGTGGTGAGTGAGTGAGTGGTGAGTGAGTGGTGAGTGAGTGGTGAGTGAGTGGTGAGTGAGTGGTGAGTGAGTGAGTGGTGAGTGAGTGAGTGGTGAGTGTGGTGAGTGAGTGGTGAGTGAGTGGTGAGTGAGTGGTGAGTGAGTGGTGAGTGAGTGAGTGGTGAGTGAGTGGTGAGTGAGTGGTGAGTGAGTGGGTGGGTGAGTGAGTGGGTGAGTGAGTGAGTAGGTGAGTGGGTGGGTGAGTGAGTGGGTGAGTGAGTGAGTGGTGAGTGAGTGGTGAGTGAGTGAGTGGGTGAGTGAGTGAGTGAGTGGTGAGTGTGTGGGTGGGTGAGTGGGTGGGTGAGTGGGCGAGTGAGTGAGCGGGTGAGTGGGTGGGTGAGTGAGTGGGTGAGTGGGCGAGTGAGTGAGTAGGTGAGTGGGTGGTGAGTGAGTGGTGAGTGAGTGGTGAGTGAGTGGTGAGTGAGTGGTGAGTGAGTGGTGAGTGAGTGAGTGGTGAGTGAGTGGTGAGTGAGTGGTGAGTGAGTGAGTGGTGAGTGAGTGGGTGGGTGAGTGAGTGAGTGAGTGGTGAGTGAGTGACTGAGTGAGTGAGTGGGTGAGTGAGTGGGTGAGTGAGTGAGTGGTGAGTGAGTGGTGAGTGAGTGGTGAGTGAGTGGTGAGTGAGTGGTGAGTGAGTGGTGAGTGATTGGTGAGTGAGTGGTGAGTGAGTGGTGAGTGAGTGGTGAGTGAGTGGTGAGTGAGTGGTGAGTGAGTGAGTGGTGAGTGAGTGGTGAGTGAGTGGTGAGTGAGTGGTGAGTGAGTGGTGAGTGAGTGAGTGGTGAGTGAGTGGTGAGTGAGTGGTGAGTGAGTGGTGAGTGAGTGAGTGGTGAGTGAGTGGTGAGTGAGTGGTGAGTGAGTGAGTGGTGAGTGAGTGGGTGGGTGAGTGAGTGAGTGAGTGGTGAGTGAGTGACTGAGTGAGTGAGTGAGTGGGTGAGTGAGTGGGTGAGTGAGTGAGTGGTGAGTGAGTGGTGAGTGAGTGGTGAGTGAGTGGTGAGTGAGTGGTGAGTGAGTGGTGAGTGAGTGGTGAGTGA